CATGTGATGTCTGTGGGGTGTCCATGGGGTCAGATTGTGGGATGTCCATGTTGTGTCCATGTGATGTCCACATGATGTCCATGTGATGTCCATGGGGTGTTCATGGGGTGTCCGTGGGGTGTCCATGGGGTCAGACTGTGGGATGTCCCTGTTGTGTCCATGTGACGTCCATGGGGTGTCCGTGGGGGGTCCATGGGGTCAGACTCTGGGATGTCATTGTTGTGTCCATGTGACGTCCATGGGGTGTCCGTGGGGGGTCCATGGGGTCAGACTCTGGGATGTCATTGTTGTGTCCATGTGACGTCCATGGGGTGTCCGTGGGGGGTCCATGGGGTCAGACTCTGGGATGTCATTGTTGTGTCCATGTGACGTCCATGGGGTGTCCGTGGGGGGTCCATGGGGTCAGACTCTGGGATGTCATTGTTGTGTCCATGTGACGTCCATGGGGTGTCCGTGGGGTGTCCATGGGATGGCGTGTCCATGTGATGTCTGTGGGGTGTCCATATGATGTCCACGTGATATCTGTGGGGCGTCCATATGATGTCCATGTGATGTCCATGGGATGTCCCTGTGATGTCCATGTGATGTCCACATGATGTCCATATGATGTCCACGTGATATCTGTGGGGTGTCCATATGATGTCCATGTGGTGTCCATGTGATGTCCATGGGGTGTCCATGGGATGTCCATGGGGTGTCCATGGGGTGTCTGTGGGGTGTCCATGGGGTCAGATTGTGGGATGTCCATGTTGTGTCCATGTGATGTCCCTGTGATGTCCATGTGATGTCCCTGTGATGTCCATGTGATGTCCCTGTGATGTCCATGTGGTGTCCATGTGACATCCATGGGGTGTCCGTGGGGTGTCCAGGGATGTCCATGGGGTGTCCAGGTGGTGTCCGGGTGGTGTCCGGGGGTTGTCCAGGGGTGTCCTGGGCGCTGACCAGACTGTCCCAGCTGGAGGAGACGTTGCAGCTGCGGACGGAGAGTCGCCAGGGCAGCCTGCGAGGGGACAGCCTGCGAGGGGACAGCCTGCGAGGGGACAGCCTCAGAGGGGACAGCCTCAGAGGGGACAGCCTGCGTGGCACCAGCATCTGCTCCGCCATGGTGAGACACGGGGGACACCAAGGGTCACCGTGTTCCTGGGGGTGTCCCTGTGCCCAGTGACACTCCTGTCCCCCACACTGCCCGTGTCACCTGGTGGTGTCCATGTCCCCAGTGAGGCCCGTGTCACCTGGTCATGCCCATGTCCCCATTGGTGTCGCTGTCCGTGCCCTTGTTCTGATCAGGGCCCGTGTCCCTGTGGTGTCCCCATGTCCCCACTGGTCCCTGTGTCCCCATTGGTCCCCATGTCCCCAGCAGTGCCTGTGTCCCCATGGGTCCCCGTGTCCCCCATGGGTCCTCATGTCCCCACTGGTCCCCATGTCCCCACAGTCTCCATGTCCCCATGGTGCCCATGTCCCCACTGGTCCCTGTGTCCCTATCAGTCCCCATGTCCCCACTGGTCCCCATTGGTCCCTATGTCCCCATGGTGCTCATGTCCCCACTGGTCCCTGTGTCCCCATGGTCTCCATGTCCCCACAGTGCTCATGTCCCCATGGTCTCCATGTCCCCACTGGTCCCTGTGTCCCCACGGTCTCCATGTCCCCACGGTGCTCATGTCCCCACGGGTCCCTGTGTCCCCACCAATCCCGGTGGCACCCCTGACGCGTCCCTTGTCCCCAGAGCGAGGAGCCCGAGGGCCGCAGTTACTCCACGCTCTCCACCGTGCGGGAGATCGAGACGCAGACGGACGTCCCCGTTGTCCCCGTTGTCTCGGCGCCAGCGCCGCCAGCCCCCGGCGGGAAGGAGCCCAAGGAGGAGGAGGAGGAAGGGGGCGGCGGGGGGGACCCCATCAAGCAGGCCATGACGCACTTCGTGCAGGAGAACGGGATGCTGCAGGCCAAACCCAGCTCCAACGGCATCTACATCAATGGCCGCGGCCACCTGGTGTGAGCCAGGCACCGAGGGGACACCTGGGGACAGCCAGGGGACAGCCAGCGCCCCCCGCGCCCGCCCGGCTCTGCCCCCGCCGCTCCGGTCCCCGGGTGTCACCTTGCTGCTGGTGTGGGGTTGGGGACAAGGACAGTGCCCCAGGACTGGCTGCGGTCCCTGGCTGTCACCTCGCTGCTGGTGTGGGGTCAAGCAAAGACTCTGGTCCCCAAGTGTCACCTCCCTGCTGGCACATGGAGTTGGGGACACCACCAAGCCCCAGGACATTCTTCGGTCCCCAAGTGTCACCTTGCTGCTGGCACAGGCTTGGGGACACACATGGCGCCCCTGGACGTGCTCTGGTCCCCAGGTGCCACCTCCCTGATGGCACATGGAGCTGGGGACACCACCAAGTGCCAGGACATGCTCTGGTCCTCAAATGTCACCTCCCTCCTTGTGTGGGGTCAAGGACCAGCTTCGGTTCCCAGGTGTCACCTTGCTGCTGGCACAGGCCTGGGGACACCGCTGAGCTCCAGGACATGCTCCTGTCCCCAAGTGTCCCCTCCCTCGTGGTGTGGGGTCAGGGGTGGACTCTGGTCCCCAAGTGCCACCTCACTGCCATCACAGGCCTGGGGACAAACCCCAGGACAAGCTCCTGTCCCCAGGTGCCACTTCCCTGCTGTCACTGGCTTGGGGACAGCACTGAGCTCCAGGACATGCTCCTGTCCCCAAGTGTCCCCTCCCTGCTGCTGTGGGGTCAAGGATGGACTCTGGTCCCCAAGTGCCACCTCGCTGCCATCACAGGCTTGAGGACATCATCAAGCCCCAGGACAAATTCTGTCCCCAGGTGCCACCCAACCCCGGGCTGGGGACACTCGTGGTGACATCGGGGACCCCCCAGGACTCCCCAAACCTCCCAGGACCGAGCGGGGCAGGAGCCCCCGTGTCCCCCCGACCCCCCCGGGACTGTGGTGGCAGTGGGGACAGCCGTGTCCCCTCCCCCCCGGGCTGGGGGAGGGGCTGTACAGCCGTGTATAGACCCTGTAAATAAACACCCCGCGGGGCTGGGCACGAGTGTGACAGCTTGGGGACACGGGGG